ATGCTTTGTGGGACATATAAGGTATGCCTGCAATCTTTTCCTTCTGTTAGGAGACTAAGAATTTCATAACCAGATGATCTAATAACAACTTGTGGTTAGAAAGTTGGATTGGTGAAGATTTAGAGGTGGGACATGCCCTTTGACTTACAGTACTAAGCCTGTACCATGTTCTCAAACAAAGAGAGTGTTATCTGCTAGTATAAAGGAATAATTCTCTTCTGAACTCTTTGGAGACTCAAAAAAATTCCACTGATCAAGACGTTGGAAGTCATTAAGAAAAGATGAATGATTGTGAGAGCCCATGTAAGAAAGTTGTGAATGTTCTATGAACTATAGATGAGGCAGGGTATAGAATGTTGCTCCTCTGTAGTAGCCTTCCAGAAAGAATTGCATAAACTGTTAAGTGGATACACTTGAAAGCAAGGGCGTGAAGGGAATGCCCTCTTGTGTCCACATTATCTCTATGGAAAAAAGCAAAGGCCTAGGAGGAATATTCACAGCTCTTTCACATGACCAAAGATAATGAGACACAACACCAGGTGTATTTCCTCCTATGCTTGTATTTGCTTAAGCTAACTGCAAATGTCACCTTTCATTTTGTTTGCTTTAATAATAAAAATGAGAAGTGCTTTGTTTGCCCTATTCTTGAACTCAAATGCTTGGAGTCCCCTGTGTCCCCACACAGACCTTTGGCATCTTCTTCAATCCATGGAGACTTAGCCTCACTGGCCAGGGTGGGTCAACAAAAGATGTTCCCATTTATTGTTTTCCCAGCATTGGCCTGATTCTGTACTTTACCCAGGTTCAAGTTTTAACATTCATTGGTGTTCTGCCCTCCATATTATTAAGCCCCATAAGTGATCCTTATTTTTCTTAGCTTTTCCATTAAGTGAGATATGAACTTTCTTTCTTTCTTTTTTTTTTTTTTTTTGGTTTTTCGAGACAGGGTTTCTCTGTGTAGCTTTGCGCCTTTCCTGGAACTCGCTTTGGAGACCAGGCTGGCCTCGAACTCACAGAGATCCGCCTGGCTCTGCCTCCCGAGTGCTGGGATTAAAGGCATGCGCCACCACCGCCCGGCTTTTTTTTTTTTTTTTTTTTTTTTTTTTTTTATAATTAAATTTTTTTTTTTTCTTGGAAATTTTTTGTTTTTATGTCCAGGGGCTGAACTCATCTTAGATACAGAATTCTGCACAGAGCAAAGCAAGCTTTTTTTTCTCCTTCTGAATTTTGCCTCTCAAACCTCGCTGTTTAGGGTTTTCTTTTCTTCTTTCTTTTTTTTGTTTTTTTGTTTTTCGAGACAAGGTTTCTCTGTGAAGCTTTGCGCCTTTCTTGGATCTCGCTCTGTAGACCAGCCTGGCCTCGAACTCACAAAGATCCTCCTGCCTCTGCCTCTCGAGTGCTGGGATTAAAGGCGTGCACCACCACCGCCTGGCTATGAACTTTCTTATTCGACACACTGGCAGCCCTCATCTTTGGGGACTCTTTTGGTCATTTCTTATTATTCATTTGTAGTTCTGTCATTTATTTTTTTCCAAAGGATCAAGTAACAAGGTTGCTAATGGTTCCCCAAGTTCCCTGTTCTTGCTATTTTTATTCTACCCATGTTTTTCAAACACCCAGTGCATCTCTCTGATACATTCTTGACTCCACTAGTTCACCAATCCAGAGATTTGTTCATCTTTTACAACAATTATGCTGTTATTCTCTAGCTTGTCAATAGTTTTCCCTCTAACACAGTAGTGGATTTCTCATTACTCCATGGAGCAGCAGGCATTTCAGGGCCCCAAATCTCATCTTAGTATATGTTTTCTTGGACCATTCTTATTGGTTATTATTACAGGTTTGGTCCCCTGCAAAATGTTCTTTTGCCTTTGATGGACATTGGCTTGCTAGGGTGTTATTAAAAGCATGTTTCTAGATTCAATCTCTCATGGAGGAGAAAGAAAAGGAGGAATTGACCAGGGATATATTCTCAATAAATTACTTGGCCATCTCTATAGAAGATTCTAAAATCTGTTCACAGGTCATTGAATATTGAGATCCCTAGGAAAGAAAATGGATTAAATTATACATATCTTTTGCATATAGAGCTTTTTTTATATTTTAAGTAGTTTTAGAAATATTTTATGTTTGGGGAAGCTGTAAAAATGAGATTGCCTTTTAAATTTTATTTCCAACTATTCATTCTAATACATAGAAATATGTTTGAGTTCTGTCGATATTTATTCCATTGACTTTGATATGATATAATATTTACTGTAGCAATTAAAAACTATATTGGTTCAGATATATATAATTATATTATCTACAAATAAAATGTTTTATTTTAAACATTCCCAACATTCAAATTGTATATGCCTTCTTCTTGCCTTATTCCACTGCTGAGTTCGAACTCTAACAGACAATAGAAGCTGTTGAATGAAATAACTGATGAAGTTCATCCTTATTTTGTTCTGAAAATAGAAATATGTTTTCTCTTACTAGAACTATGGTGTTAATTTCAATTTTATAGTATTTGCTTATTTGTGTGCTGTTTATTTCATATGAAAATTAGATTATATTTGGGAAATCTACTCCTAGTTTCTTATTTTATTATAACGTGGCTTTAAGTATTCATCAAATGCATTTCTATGTCTATTAAACAATTTATTTTTCTTTTCAAACTTTATTCTGAAAATGCTAATAAACCTCTAATACAAGTTGTTCATTTCATATTATTCTTCCTATATGTTCCCAGACTTAATTTTCTCTGAGGTCGAAATTTGCCTGGTTCATCTTTGGAAAAGGAAGCAAAATAGGCTTCATATTCTTGTGTTCAGCATACTGTATGCTAAAAAATACATGGTGATAAGCTATGAGTTAGTGTCCTGACAGTCAGCGAAGGAGACAGAGAAATCTGGACATAAACATTAGGAGAAGCAGATCTGTAATCACATTGTTGTTACTATGTTTGTGTGAGGCAGGAGATGCACACTACCTAATGTTCCTCTATATGACAGGTGTCTTAGCTACTTTTCAACTGCTGTGACAAAATACTATGACCAAGGCAACTTATAAAAGGAAGTGTTTAATTTGGGGTTCATGGTTCTGGAGGGTTAGAGTCTTTGACCATCATGGTGAGGAGGATGGTGATAGGTAGGCAGCCATACTTTGAGCAGTAGCTAAGAGATAACATCTCAATCCACAAGCACAAGACAGAGAAAGAACTGATTGGAAATGGTGTAGACTCTTGAAAACTCAAAGCCCACCATCAGTGAAACACCACCTCCAACAAGGTCATACCTGAATATCCTTCTCAAACAGTCCCACCAATTGGGGACCAAGTATTCAAACATGTGAACCCATGGGAGCCATTTCTCAAATATTATTAAGGACCAGCCTTAATAATCTCCTTCCCAGGAGCCCAGAAAAGAAGCTATGAATGGTGAGAATTATTTTCAGGAAATGAATCTAAGTACACCAAACTCTTAGTCCGTCTACTTTTATCCCTCTGGGATAAGATTCTATCTATACAGCTACAGTTCTCTACTCAAGCCTAGCTCCTTTTGAAAGGGAAAAATCAGTAGCCATCTTGAGAGATGCTTCTCCCTCTCTTCCTCCAAAAGTATTTGCTGATCAGCAGTTTTAGAAGTGACCAGAAGTTGAACTTATAAAACTGGGACAATAAATCTATGTATCCTGGACTTGGCAAAACAAGATATGAGGAGCAATGGGTTCAATTGACCAGAAGTTGACCTCAGAGGAGAGTAGGACTGCAACAATAAATCTGAATGTATATATCCTGGGTTCAACAAAAGCGGGACATAGGGAGTAAAAATTTATGTCTTTGTAGATACCCTGAATCCTGTTAGCCATCAGTAACTTCATGCTTATAATTCAGCCAGTAACTTCAAAGAACTGCCTCACCCCTAGCCCCTTCTTCCAAATCCCAAGCTGCATGTAAACTTTTCTTATATAAACCCCTTAAAGCGAGTGCTCTGGCCATTCTACTCCACTCGCTGTGTCTGATGTTGGACATGGACCAAGCTTGCTTGTTTTGTTATTAAAAACCTCTGTGTGCTTGCATCAGATATTAGTGGTGGTCTTGCTTGGGGGTCTTGCAACTAGGGCACAACAGTTTCTTGCCTGATTTCTCTCTACCTTTATCTGTTGTCCCTTCTAAGTTCTATCTTAATTCTCTCATCTTAGTTCTGCCCCATCTTGGTCTTACCCATCTTGTTCTTCCCCATCTGGCTCTTCCTCATCTTCTATCTCATTCTTCTAGTTCTCCATCTAGTTTTCCAGTTAAAATCCTCTCCTGTCAAAATCTTCTCCCAGTCTCTGAGATTTAACATTATATACCTATGCAATAACAGTGCTCTAGCTAAAGCTAGGTCACCAGGCTTGAATTCTTACAGGGTCATAAAGGCAGACAAGTTTTCCTAAGTCAGTGACCTTCAAGCTTTATTTTATAACCCAAAAAGGGAGTGGTAAAGGAGGAGGTCAACTGAGAGCTAAGATCAGTTAGTATATAAAAAAGGGAATTTATGTGTTCAGTCTACATTCCTAGAAGTGAATAGGTAAGAAGTTAGGAGTCTATAATGTCAGTAAGGCTGTATAAGAAAGGAGGGTCTTAGCTAAAATTGTATGAGAAATAAAGCTATCTGCCTGACCCAAGAGACAGGTGTTGTTTCTATAAGGGTGTTACCTGAGTTCAGGAGATCATTTGGCCTTAGATGTTTGATAGATATTTTAGATAAATACACTGCTAGGAGTTCTTGGAAGCACATATAGCATACAAGAAAGTCATTGCAAGAATTGGCTAATGTATATACAAAAGCTAAAATATCATCAAGATGTCTTAAGCCATGGTTCAACCTTCAGAAAAGTCCTTGACATTTCCAAGTAGCAGCTTTTGTGATAGTAGCTGGATTCCAATACGTTTTCCTGCGGCCTGTAGCAGCCATTCTCCTTCAAACCACCACAGCAGGATAGTAGCTAGAGATAAACACCTGCAGTTGCTACCCGCTTTCCTGTGGAAGGTCATTCAATACATTTTCCACCTGTACACTGCCGGCTGTCTCCTCACATATGATACTTTTCTCCAGAGTGCAGTATGTATAATGAACATATATTCCTTCTATATATCCACAGTACATTTTACGTAAGTCATATGTGCTTCTTTCAAACCTGTAAGAGAGAAATAAGTACACTTGGCAAGTTACATTTTGATTACACCCACAGAGGAGAATTTTCAACATAAAATTATTGTTTTATGGCCTATTGTCTAAGTCAAATTTGAGTTGGTGATTGGGGGTACATATACATGATGTGAAACCTTCTTTTCTCAACTTTCTACATCTGGAATATTTTCTGTCATTATTTCCAGACTTAGCCTCTCTTCCCATGGCTGATATGATTTACAATAATGCCATATCATAACTCTCCACTTTAACTTTTTCAGTAGTGAAACTTGGGCACTATCCTCACCAAGTGTTTTCATAATAATGACCAAAGCTAGAATAAACCTAATCTGGGAAACATTAAGTCCTGAATCATCTCTAATGTGGCATTTCCTTCTAGCAAGGTCTCAGGTACTCCATTCTGACTAGTAGTTTGTAACATTGGATGAGTGATCACAGATAAATATTTATAAATTAAAAACATTATTTTCTTGATAAACATAGCATTGATTCTTGGGTCAATTAATAATGGTCATCAAATAACTTCCTCAGTCAATGTGGGGAGCAAAAGAAGTCCTGAGTGTGTGAAGGCTTAAGTGGGTGTGTGTTACTGACATGAGCTGGGCATGTTGAGGACCAAGGCCTGATACCCACAGTGAAATGGCAAAGCCTTAGTCCTCCTGGAGTGAGGCTCAAAGGGATGGTGAGTCTTCCTCCCTATCCCCCCTTCTCCCTTCCACCTGCCCTCCTCAGGGTGAGGCTCAAAGGGATGGCAAATCCTTCCTCTGGTCCATGTGCAGATGTGGATGGTGTAGAAAATGTCGACCATAACATTCTCCCTTGGTTGTTTGTGGCCTGAAGAGTGTGCCCCTTCGGAGATTGCTCCTGCTGAGATCAACTAAGCCTGCTTCCCAGTTTGTCTGTATGAAATAACATCCCCCACATCCAACAGTATAAAATAAACACACTGAACTTCTGAGGTGCCTCAACTTTTCCATCAGAGAGCCCAGACTTTCTGTATGCTCATGTGTGCCTGTCTTTTCTTCATTCCCTTACCACTCCAGTCAGGTCCACACACAAGGCAGTGTAAGAATGTAGCAAGTTAGATTTTCAAGAATGAGATTTCCAGAGAGCTGGAGAAATGGCTTGTGGCTAAAATGGAGATTCTGGAGGACCTGAGTTTAGCTCCCAGCGTACAACCATCTATAACTCCATAACCCATAACCTATAACTCCAGCTCTGGGGTTTACAATGCTTCTGGCTACCATGGGTACCTGAAATCGTGTGTGAATACTCATATAAACAGATATACACAGAGACACATAGTTAAAAGTAAAATAAGTGTTGAAAAAAGGGGGATGGGGGAGTTATGATGTCAAAGTAAACATCACTGTCCTCCAGAAAAGGCCCCCAAACAATAACATTGAGAACAACAAAATTTCACACACACACACACACACACACACACACACACACACACACACACACCATGTTTTTACACTTATTATTTAAGGAGTGTTTGATCATATCAAACATCCACTGCTCTTATTCCCTTATTGTAGAGGGAGATTGCATAGGGGCTCTGCAGTTGGCTTTAATTCAGAGTGTCAGCACCTGGGCTTTCAATGGTCTTTTGTGACTGCTCTCTTTTGTAATAGCTGCTTTTTGTTTGAAGTGTTTAAAGCTTATCTGAGTTCATCCTGAAAAGTTCAAAGCCTCTGAAAAATTTAGTTGCAAAAGAACTCAGAAAACCAAAAGGTCTTGTGACTGAAAATTGCTTTTGCATTTGTTTCCTTTGGGAGCTTCAGATAAGAGGTTTTGGTATGCAGAAATTGATTTGCCAAGGTGTAGATTGAATAACAATTTTAAAAAAAGGCTTTTGGAAAGCAATTGCAGTCAGGTCACCAGAAACTGGCCCCTCTACTGCTGTTAAGCCAAAATTCATCCTGGAGTGACCCAATTTCTTCCATGGACCCACAGAAGAACACAACACCAACACTTGGTGTCCAACATCATGGGTCTTGGAGAAAGAAGGGACTCGGGTGCTCCAGGATTGAAGGTTTAAAAAAGTGTGCTCTTAGAGTATGAGGACTCCAAGATTTGGCAGGATCACTGCGAAATTAAATTCCCCAGCTCAGAATTGGCAACAAGTAACATGGCTCCCAGGACAAAGAATAAATCAAGGGAAAAGGCCCTTTTAAGAAGAGAAAAGGGAAGGAAAGGAAATAAGAAAAGAAAATTTCTCAATGGGAAAAGGAGAAATATTTAATCAAGAAAAAAAAGGATTTTCCCTGTAGAAGAAAGGAAAATGTTAAATCAAGGCCTAGAAATAAAAAGGTCCTATAAAAAAAATAAATAAAAGAAAGAAAAAAGCCTCTTCCCACTAGGTATAGAAGAATGGAAAAGGCTCTTTCCAATAAAATGAAGACATTAATGATAACTGGAACTCAGAGCTCTCTGGCTGCCATATGCTGCATGCCAGCTCTTTCTGCCAGCCCAGAGAGGTGGCATTTGAATTTCAAAGAATGATGGGCAGGGTTTAACTGCTTCGTCATGAGTTAGCACAGCTGGCCCAGAACTAGAATTTTCTTATTTGTTTGCTTAATTTTGGTTTAAATGTTTTTCCCCCCCAATAGCAGGAATAACTCATTATCAATCAATGGTCCACTCGTGGAAGAAATAAAAAGCAAAAACAAGCCCAACTTCTGGTAAAAAAAATTAGGGCAATTAGGGCAAAAAAAAAAAATGGAAAAAAATTGCAATTAGGGCATAAAGTACAAAACCAATCCTGTTTGAATTTCCAGAAGTATTAGTCATTCATTGTATGGAATATGTTATTTTCTCTTGATCATCTGATCAATGCTCTGGGATGTTCTGTATGTTAAATGTGTTGCTCTGATTGGTTAATAAATAAAATATTGATTGGTCAGTAGCCAGGAAGGAAGTATAGGCGGGACAACGAGAGAAGAAAATTCTGGGAAGTGGAAGGCGGAGGCGGAGAGACGCTGCCAGCTGCCGCCATGGAAAGCGAGATGTAAGGTACCGGAAAGCCACGAGCACCATGGCAACTTATAGATGAATAGAAATGGGTTGATTTAAGATATAAGAATAGTTAGCAAGAAGCCTGCCATGGCCATACAGTTTATAAGTAATATAAGTCTCTGTGTGTTTACTTGGTTGGGTCTGAGCAGCTGCGGAACTGGCAGGTAAGAGAGATTTGTCCTGACATGGGCCAGGAAGGACTGGAGAAAACCACCAGCTACAGATCAATGCTTAAAAGAAAGTTTAATTTTCATAGTAAATGAACTAAAAGAGCAAAATTCATGATTTTGAACTATATTATTTGGTATGTTCTTGTCTGTTTATCATTACTGAGGATTTGCCTCTGCTCTTTAAGCTGCTTTCTAGAAACTCTTGACTAAATTTCATAAAAAAAAATAACACCTGAAACAGAGTGGTTGTTAGCTTATTAAATAATATGGCTGCTAAGGCAGTAGGTTATAGAAATAATCTCTTGCTGATAAAGAGCCTACAAAAATTATTTTTGCACTAAATAAAATACAGTTAAATTGTTCCACATTATTAATAATTGACAGGTTATATTAATATGTTACTTGGGATCTATAAAAAGGGATTCCCTTTTTAAGATTTTATAAAAATACTCTCTGGGTATTGCCTAAAATTACCTCTTAAAATCCTATAGAGATTGTTTTTAATGCTTTTATAGATGGCTTATGTAAAAAGAGCTATGCAGAGAAAGGCTGATGATAGAATTGCTCAATTGTTATTACTCCCATATATTAAAGGTAAAGCAGCTCAATATATAGGACAGGAGGTTTTGGAAATACTGGAAAGTAAGTATTTTTGCAAACTGCTATATTAATATAACAAAGCTAAAATTACAAGTAAATGGCATTGAGATTGAAGTTTTAGTGCACACTGGAGCACTATAATTTCTATATATCTATAATTTCTCAAGAATCTTAGAATCCCAACTGGCCTTTACAGGAAGTTTCCACTCAGTTTTTAGGCATTAGAACATATCTTACATGAAACAAAGTATAGAATGGATTAAATGCATAGGGCCTGAAGCACAAAGAGGGATATTAAAGCCTTATGTGGCTGATACAGTCATGAATTATGAAGGAGAGATTTGTTACAATGGGGACCTCAAATTAACATTCCTACAATTTCAGAAACAACCATAAAATGATGTTTTAAATGGGGTATATTCCTGGAAAAGGTATTGGAAACAATTATCAAGGAAAATCACAGGCTGTACAAGTCGTCCAACAACAAGAAAAACAGGAATTGGCTATCCAAATTTGGAGTAGGAATCACTGCTGGTAACCCAACTGCTCTGCTTTTAAAATGGCTAACTAATGAGCCTATACGGGTGGAGCAGTGCTCCTTAACGAAAGAAAAATTGCAGGTACTTGAACAGCTAGTAAAAGAACAGTTAGATGCTCAGCACATTGAGGAAACTACTAGTTGTTGGTATTCTCTGTATTTGTAATAAAAAAACAAATCTGGGAAATGGAGAATGTTAACTGATTTGAGTACTGTAAATCAAGTAATCTAACCTATGGAATCTTTACAGCTTAGAATTCTTTTACCTTCTTTATTACCTAAAGAATGGCCTGTTATAGCTGTTGATTTATAAGATTGTTTCTTCACTTTCTCTTTACAAGAACAAGATAGAGGAAAATTTGCTTTTACGGTGCCTACTTATAATAATGCCAGCCTGTAAAGACATAGCAATGGAAAAGCTTTTCTCAAGGAATGTTAGGCAGTCCAACTTTATGTCAATATTTTGTGCGTCAATCACTGGAAATGGTCCGTAAACAATTTCCTCAAACCATTATTTACCATTATATGGGTGATATTTTATTGGCTGCGCCTGATACAGACACCTTAGAAAAAAATGTTCAATGTAGTACAAAAAAAAATTTACTCTGTTGGGAATTACATATTGCTCCTGAAAAAATACAAAGAGGAGATTTTCTTAATTATTTAGGATTTAAATTAAGTAAACAGGAAATCGAGCTACAAAAGGTACAGATTAGGAGAGATCAATTCACACTCAACGATTTTCAAAAATTATTGGGTAATATTAACTGATTGCAATCTACCATTGGACTGACTATTCAAGGATTAGTAATTTGCTTCAAAATTTGCAAGGTGACTTGGATTTAAACAGTCCAAGGGAATTAACAACTGAAGCAGAAAAGGAATTGGCCCAAGTAGAACAAAAATTACAAAACGCCTATGTGGATTGAATAGATCTCACAACTGGATGTATTTTAGTTATATTACCTCCTGCCCATTCCCCTACTGGACTCATTATGCAAAGGGAGGATAATATTGTAGAATGAATTTAACTAGCTCACAAACAAAGTAAAAAGTTAAAAACCTTTATAGAAAAAGTTTCTGAATTAATTATAAAAGGAAGAATAAGACTTCATCAATTGTCAGGAATGGATCCAGCTGAGATTGTAGTAAGTACCCTATATTAATGCTGAAATTATGCAATTGTGGGTAGTTAATGATGATCGGCAAAAAACTTGTAGCGATTTCTTAGGAGAAATTAACAACAAACATCCTAAAAGCAAGTGACTTCAATTTATAAAAAGAACTGAATAAATTCTTCCCCGCATAGTGGAAAAAGCACCTATTTCTGAGTCTCTTACATTTTATACTGATGCAAACAAATTAGAAATGGTTGATTATAAAGCAGGAAACATAAGTAAAGTAATTCAAAGTCCATAAGATTCAGTTTAAAAATCACAGTTATATGTCATTTTAATGGTTTACACTTTAAAGAATCTCTTAATATAGTTACTGATTCTCAGTATATATAAGGGGTTGTATTGCACATAGAAACTGCTGAACTTATTCCTGATAATTCAGAATTGACTTTGCTATTCATGCAACTGCAACAAGCAATCCAGGACAGAAATTTTCAGCTATGTATTACTCATATTTGATTCATACTGGATTGTCCAGGCCATTAGCAAAAGAAAATGAAGAAATTGATCAATTACTGATAAGAAGTGTGTTAAAAGCTTCAGAATTTCATAAGAAACTCATGTTAATAGTAAAGGCTTAAGGAAAAAATTTTCCATTACTTGTCAACAAGCTAAGAAAATTATAAAAAAAAAAAACCTGTCCTACTTGTTCTTTGTATAATCAAGTTCCTTTACCTGTAGGAAGTAGCCCTTAAAGTACACAGACACAAAAATAAATTTCAAATGAATGTATTTCATTTAATAGAATTTGAAAATTTAAATAGACTCATTATACCATTGATATATTCTCTGGATTTCAGTGGTCATCTACCTTAAGTTCTGAAAAGGCTGATTCTGTAATTACACATTTGTTAGAGGCAATGGCTATAATGGGCATACCAATTGCAAATTAAAACTGATAATGGTCCTGCTTTTATGTTCCCAATAAAATGAAACATTTTTTTTGTACATTATAACATAAAACACATTACAGGGATACTGTATAATCCTACAAGACAGGCAATTGTTGAAAGATCTAATCACACTCTAAAAGAGATGCTTTTTAAAAAGAAGGAGGATATGAGGACCCCCAGGGAGAGATTACATAATGCTTTACTTACTTTAAATTTTTTAAATGCTAATGAAGTAGGGACTACAGCTGCTGAAAGGCATTTGATTGCAGAAAAAAAAAAAAAAAACCCTGCTAAACTGAGTCAGGCTGTGTATTACAAAGATGTTTTAACATCAGAATGGAAAACAGGGAAAATGGTGTGTTAGGGCTGAGGGTGCTTTTTTCATTATGCGGGGAAGAATCCAGTCAGTTCTTTCTATAAATTGAAGCCACTTACTTTTCAGGTATTTGTTGTTAATTTCTCCTAAGAAATTGTTACACGATCTTTGCCAGTCATCCTTAATTGTCCACAATTGCATAATTTTAGCATTAGTACAATCTCAGTTGGATCCATTCCTGACAATTGACAAAGTGGTGATGAGTATGCAGAAATCACAGTGTTTAGTCTCAGCATGGTAGACTGACTTCCTATTCAGTGTGTCCTAAACTAACACGTATGTGGTTAGTGGGTCGAAATGCAACAGGATGCTTGCATTTTTGCATATCCAGTGCAAGATCCTGGATTCAATGCCCAGATTGAAACAAACAGACAGAGGGGGTAACAGGGCCGGAGAAATGGCTCAGTGGGTAAAGTGCACACTGCTCTTGCAGAGAAGTCAAGTTCAGTCCCCAGCACCAAGCTCACAACTACTTGTAACTCCAGATCAAGGGCTCGAACACCCTGCTATAGCTTCTGTGAGCACAGCACTCTTGTGCACCTTGTGATGAATGTGGGTTCTGCAAAATTATCCAGCAGACTGATACTAAAGTTTCTATTTCTAGTCTCATATCCTGTTTCCCAAATTTCATGGATTATAAATACAAGTGGAATTTTCACATTGTTGTAAATAAAGCCTTAATTTGCTTGCAATAAAAAGCAGAACAAATACAAAGTACAAATCCAGTTATTGACATATATTTATAAATAGCTTCCTAAATATGTTAGCAAGTTATAAAGATACTTATAAATTCACGCAGTCTATGGGGAAGTTCACATTATTTTTCACACTATAATGTTTGTCCAGTTAGTCTTCAAATAGTGCTCTCAACAATCTCCACTTTAGGGCTATAGAGATGGTTCAATCTGCTTGCCTAGCAAGCACAAGGATTTGAGTTCAATCCCCAGAGCCCATGGATAAAATCTGAGCATGGCAGCACACACTTATAATCAATCTTAGCATTGGGGAGACAAGCAGATCCCTGGGCATCTCTGGCAACCTAGATTACTTGGAGAGTTCTAGACCACTGAGAGTTTCTGCCTCAAAAACAAAAAGTGGAGATCACCTGAAAAATAACACCAAAGTTATTCAGAGAATTTTCAGAGAATATTCAGTCTGGGGCAAATGAGGCAGTTAATGACTGCAAGCCAGACTTAAAAGAAAAAGAGAACAATGTAATAGAGTCAGAGAAGGGCAGTAACCACTCTGATTTCCACTGGATACACACACACACACAAACACACACATTCATACACATACACACACATCTCTCTCACACACAGCACATACACACATGCACCATACACACATGTATGTAGTAATACATTGTGTTCCCCAATATATTGTGCACCCTAATAAAGCTTATCTGAGGATCAGAGGAAAAAGCCAGCCACTATAGTCAACATAGAAGTCAGGCAGTGGTAGCACATGCCTTTAATCCTAGCATTAGAGAGGCAGAGACCCATCTGGATCTCTGTGAGTTCAAGGCCACACTGGGAACAGAGCCAGGCATGGTCACACACCCCTTTAATCCCAGCACTAACCACAGAGGTCTGGAGGTCTGTACAGACAGACAGGAAGTGATGTAGCTGGGCAGAGAGAGGAAGTGAAATGCAGAACAGAAAGGCATATAGGCCTGGGTATACAGGAAGCAGCTCTCTTTGGCTGAGGATTTTCAAGTGGTAAGAACATGGCTGGCTTCTTTCTGCTTTTCTGATCTCTCAGTTTTTACCCCAATATCTGGCTCTGGGTTTTTTATTCATAAGACAGTTTAGCAATTCATCTTACACATGTACACCACACACATACACATAAAGACACATGCACATGCACCCTCAACACAAACATATACATACAGCCTAAGATTAAGTAATTTAGAGCTCTGTCAACCTTCCATTCACTCATCTTTGAATTCCAGAATACGGAACAATATTAAGTACTTAAAGGTGCCTAGTGAATGGTTTCAGCTTCTGCAATCTTAACTATAAGCATTAATTACACAAAAATTTCATAATTTGATTACTGTAGGTTATTGGAGACTTACCAAACTAATGACAAGACATGTATGGCAATTTTCTAAATATTCAAATATATCACAGAAGCCTGGAGGGCGGTTGGTTGCCTTTAAAGACGTGGTGTCAGCTTATGCTGCTTTAAAAGGCTCTCTGCTTGGCTGGGCAGTGGTGGCGCACGCCTTTAATCCCAGCACTCAGGAGGCAGAGGCAGGCGGATCTCTGTGAGTTCGAGGCCAGCCTGGTCTACAGCGCGAGATCCAGGAAAAGCGCAAAGCTACACAGAGAAACCCTGTCTCGAAAAACCAAAAAAAAAAAAAAAAAAAAAAGGCTCTCTGCCAAGCTCCTGAAGAAATGTGCCCATTCACGTGTAACCATAAAAATCCAGCAAGAACAGAGACTTACCCAACAGAGAGGAACATGTTCTCATTCAGTATCTCGGATCTTATGTAATTCTTTCTGGGTGACAGCCCCAGCCAATAACCATTTAACCCCTCAGACTTTACAAATTCCTAAAGAAACAGAGAAGGCCTGTTTAATAAACTGTTTCTTTCTTTCTTTCTTTCTTTTTTCTTTTCTTTTTTGGTTTTTTGAGACAGGGTTTCTCTGTGTAACTTTGTGCCTTTCCTAGAACTCGCTTTGGAGACTAGGCTGGCCTCGAACTCACAGAGATCCACCCGCCTCTGCCTCCCGAGTGCTGGGATTAAAGGCATGCACCACTACCGTCTGGCTGTTTCTTAAGTACGTACACTACCTCACAGGATCCCATAGTGCAGACTTCTGTTTTAACATTATAGTTTTGGTGTAGCATTACCACTTCTCAATGTTGTTTAAAAGAAATTCAAAATGCTTTTTAAGATGTCAGCATTTTTACAGCACAGTTTCCTCAAAGTGAGCCTGCTGTGTAGACAGGGAAAAATGAGAAGGAAACTCTGGTGCCTGGAGGCTGATGCAATCACAGAGCTGTGTTATGGCAGGACATCTTGCATCTGCTCAAACAGTAAAAACCAGCACTATCCCAAGCTAGTCAGGACCATGGCTGACCCTGGTAACTGAAACAGTCCTTTGCTTCACTGTGATGGTCTGAAGCTTGCATAAAGTGCAGCTTCCATCATGCATCTAGTATCACAACATATCCAACCCCACCTGTGTAAGAACAGAAAGGGTCAATCCCGGTCAATCCTAATTCATTCCACAATCTCCCTTCCTACACCCATGAATGTCTCTTTTCTCCCAGTAAAACTTCTCATAAGACAAGCCATCCAAATTTCTAGGGATGATACTCTCCTTTGAGAAGCTCACAGCATTCTGGTGGTTTACTTTTGCTTTCTAATAAAATGTTTCAACTTTTCACTGTGTGGGAGTTCTTTGTTTGATGGCTACAAGAACTTGGCAACCTTGGGTTGAAGTCTCTGAGATCTCCTCAACCTTCACCACTGGATAAAAGGACCTACTGATTCATTGAATAACCTTCATATGGGGTCAGTGAAAAGCTTAACAATTTTCCTGATCTAAATATTTAGGTAGTGAATATTCAGTCTTGAGCAAAGGATATGGCTAATGACTGCAAGCCAGACTTTACAGGAAAAGAGAACAATACAATAAAGTCAGAGAACAGCAATAACTACAGAGCCCAGAGTCAGCACAGGATGCTTTGCCCAAAGTTACATGTGTTTTTCTGTTAAAGCCAGTTTTCTTTTTAATAATAAATAATTATGAATGATTACTTGAGAAAGGTCAATGAAACAGAATAATGGATCAAAGTCCCTTCTCCTGTAAAAGATGACAAAGTTTCTTGTGGTAGAGAAGCTGAGCCATTTAGGGGATATAAATATATATCGATTTGGTTTTTCGAGACAGGGTTTCTTCATGTAGTTTTGGTGCCTGTCCTGGATCTCGCTCTGTAGACCAGGCTGGCCTCGAACTCACAGAGATCCACCTGGCTCTGCCTCCCAAGTGCTGGGATTAAAGGTGTGCACCACTGCCGCCCGGCTAAGGGATATATTTTTACTCCAAGATAAATGACTACAATCCAGGATAAGTGACTCACACAGGTAATTCCAGCACTTGGGAGGCTGAAGCAGGAGGATTGCTGTGAGTTCGAGATAAGCCAGGACTACTGAGTGAGATTTGTCTGGAAAGAAAGAAAATAATAAAGGATTACTATGTGAGAGACCAGAACTATTTACTAATAAGTGACACAAAAAGACATTGTTCAGACCAGCAGTTCTCAACCTGAGGGTCATTATCCCTTTGGAGATAGAATGACTCTTTCATAGGGATCACATAAGTGCACCAGAAAAATCAAATATTTACATTACAATTCATAACAGTAGCAAAACAACAGTTATGAAGCAGCAACGCAAATAATTCTATGATTGGAGGCTCCGACAAGCCGAGGAATTGTATTAAGGGGATCCAGCATTAGGAAGGTTTATAACCACTGATTTAGACATAAACAAATAAATAAACAAACCAGAGAATTCACTTGTCATTGGTTCTAAAATCTCTGTGTAATATGTCTATTTAACATTTGCCTCCTCTCTATCAACCCAGTATACTTATTTGAGCAAATATCACCCTAGCTGTCTTAACCTGGCTTTTTTGCCTTGTCAATAAAAAAACACAATATATTGACAATAAAGATATTCTCCTGTGTGGTTTTTATGGGGTGGTAATAACTATTCTGAGGGCATACACAAAAACCTGCTCCTACACTTCCAACTTGGAACCAGACAAGCCTGAGGATTCTGGGAGTCCCTGGTCTACCTGTCTATCTTCCAGCTTCTAAGATTCTGCTTAAGCTAAAGCTGTGTGTGGTGTAGCCTGACGGTGATTTCCCTGAGACAAATGTGCAAGTCCCAGTCCCCTCCCCAGGCAACAAAAACAATCCTGAGTCATGAATGGGTCACTGCGTGTCTTCCCAACACATGGTTCTTCACCCCATATTTCATGATGTGAAGTGATTCCTTTCTGAGTGAACAGAGACATGGAACCTTACCAGCTCACTCCTGTTCTTAATCTTCAGCAGACTGGCATTCTGAGCCGAGCAAAGCATTTCACTTTTTTGCCATGTTCCATACCCATCAAGTTTAGAGTAACAGCTGTCCTTGAACCATTTTGAACCCTTTGGACAAGGTTTGCATTTGTGCTCTGGAAGGAGGGCAGAGTGTTACAGGTTTGTATGAACACCCTTGACCACTATTTCTCTACTGTTTGTGTGACAGTGACAAGATTTGCTCTGTTTCTTCTCTTTAGGTCAATGAGAAAGAAATCAAGTCCTCTATATCACTATACATCACCCTAGGAACATAACAAAAACCTTGGGCAAACAAAAATATTCAAGTACCTGGCCAGATTCAAACGTATTGTCCATCATTAGGAAACCTGGGTAGTTTTCATTTGTTTGTTTATTTGTTTGTTTGTTTTTCACTTATGACTCTAAAAATTAACAGCAGCAAATGCTGTCTAGTAAAAACCAGGCTCACAGAGTCACATTGGTCTGGCTTTCTCCAGCAGGTGTCTCTTTGGCTTTCAACTTCCAGAGTATTGAAGAGGTACCTTAGAAGCATGGGAACATAGTTTAGCCACAAAAACTACAAAAGCACCGAAAGATAACACTCCTTTCCCCGGTTCCATACATCACTTCATTTCTTTGCCAGAACCTTTCACTCCTTCAGCACTAGGTGAAATTTAGGAATGGGGTCATGTATAAAGAGGCATCCTTCCCTACTTACCACCTCTTGAGCTTTGTGCCCAGAACAAGGGTAATAAACTGCAGATCAGAGAAACTGAGTATACTGTCTGATGCTTCATTATGTAAGTGTCAGAACCTTATAAATTGGCAGTCTAGTTATTTCTACTTTCGTGTTTTTCCCCTAACTATGGGGAATATCAATGACTCATTTACCAAACACATTTAATTCCATGTTTAATATTGGCTCCATAAGAAAGTGATTCTTAAAGGACCCTAAGGTTTAGTTTGTTGTCCAGGAAATAGTTTTGAGAGCAGTATAAGGTTACCTGGTTCCTTTTTATACAGCTCGTGACACAGTTGGGTGGCTGTCGTTTGCAGCATGGCAGAGAGGTTTCTGATTTTCTGGTTGCTGTTGAGATTGTGCATCTGCTGTAGGGAAACATTTCTCTGAATTTCTTCCTTGATGGTTTGTAGTTGATTTGATTTTATCATTTCTGTCTCCAAAGTTGTATAAACTCCAGGATTATTTTAAAGACAGAGAAGAGAAGAAAATAGTAGATGATTTTTAAAATCTTATAAATTCTCAGTTATTCTATCACCTTTAGAAATTTGGTGAGTTCTTTCTTCAGAAATAGTATTAAAATATTAAAGTGGTAGGAAAGGCTTCTCTATAGGAGTTATTCGAGGAGATAAATTGTATGTCTATGGACTATGTTATAAGACCCTCTTTGGGGCATAAAGCCTTAATTCTAAGAATAAACATTGATTCAATAACTCATAGCATTCTAAATCAGCCCAAAAATACCTATATAGATACATACATTTACAAATACATCTACATATATATATATGCAACACTACACAAACTCAGCAGGTTGCATTTATATATTTATTTATATAACTATGTAACAATAATAATTAAAGATTAGGAGGCTATGAATTTGAGAAGGAGCAGGCAGGGGCATGAGAGGGATTAAAGGGAAAAGGAGGGAATGATACAACTGTATTTTAATTAAATTTAAATGTCCATTTTAAAGAATGAGGTGATACATACACAATCCTCCTAAGACCCCCAGTCCAACGAGCAGCAGAAAGCATAGAAGAGTCAGAATCAAGACTGCTTTATGCTGTGAATGGGATGGAGAAGAAGGTACTGTGAAAAGAAAAAAACCGTAGCATTTGAGAAGCAGCTCACACTAATTTCATTCATTCATTCATTCAGTCAGTCAGTCATTCAGTCATTCAGTCATTCATCCTCCCCTCATTTCTTTTTACTATGTATTTTGTAATGAAAAGTATTTTGCTAAAAGCTAAAAGACTTTAACTTATTTTCAAGAATAATCAGATAGGAAACCATAAGTAAGACATCAGGTTTTATTTTGAGGTCTTTGACTATGCTGTCTTACACTCCAGATTTTTTTGTTCATGAGCTGTCTTAAATTTCTTACCAATAAGATCAAGGCAGTGATTTTTTTTTTTTAAAAAAAGTAGGAAACATTCAGTAAGTTCTTTTGAATGACAAGGGAGTCTCATAGACAAAGACATTAACCCCTAGACTGATGAAAGATAAAAAAGTAAAGATAAAGTTTTTAAAATAGAGAGGAGGAAGGGAATGGAGAGGACAGATAGTGTGTGTATCCTTGGATGCATCTGTGGAAAGTGAGTGTCTGGAGGCTGAGGGAAGCAACGTCAGTCTGAGGAGTCTCGTGGAATGTAGAGGTGAGGCTTGACAGGAAGCAGTTCCAGTTGTTAATGCACTCCTCTTGAATGCCAAGAGTGGAGCTGCAGAACAGCAAAGCAGGCTATCACTATGTCCTGGCATCCCTTGTCAGCTCTCCATCTCGCCTAGTCTGGATCTGCAGTTCTCATTCCAACTTTTTCAATATTGTCTATGATTTTCCAGCAACACATTGTAATGGAAAGATTTTATTATTTTCTGACCAATGAATCACAGACTACACCATTTTCCTAGAAAGTTATAAAACTTACATTGTGAATTATTTTTAAGGCATTATATGATTTAAATTATCTCTATGTATGGATATATGTAAAGACTGTCTCAAGAAAGTAATTCAAGAATTACCTAATATTCTTTCTCTGTTCCTGATATTTGTCTTATATCAACAACTGATAGCATAACAGTGTTGTAAAATCTCACAAAAGTGACATATAAAATATAAAACTCGATTTCTTAATATTTTGTAAAATTATTGTTAATGAAAGTACTATAAATGTTCCAGTCCTTACCTGAAGTTTAAAATACAAAGTTATAGGCTATCTTTCATCAAAATTATTTTCTCATTTTTGTAGGTATTCAATTATTTAAAAGTTATCAGATTTAGGTACTAGACACTGTTGTGGCTGTTAATGAAACAAAGTAGTAAGGTGTGCGTGTTTACATTGTCATGTAGATGCATTTTAAAGTGGCAGGAAACAAATAGCTAAGTGATTGATAAAGAAATGATAGATAGGAAGATAGATAGATAGATGATAGATAGATAGATAGATAGATAGATAGATAGATAGATAGATAGATGATAGACTGACAGACAGACATTTGAAACTCATATTTTAGAAAGTATGTGGTTCAGATGTCACGGATATGGGGAAGAAGTGTAAAGAATTCTTGTGAAGAATGTGACAGTAAGAGCACCCATCTCAAAAACCATAATTTAGGGGAGATATTTTTTTATTTGAGGAACAGAATACGTTGAAAGTAGTTAAAGATAGATTGTCCTGTATGAGAAGAATTGTTCAGGGAGAGATTAAAATGAAGCGAAGCCTGTGGAAGAGTGGGACAGGCGCTGAGTTTCCTTTAGACAACTAGGGGAGGTCCTAAGGGGATACTTGGAAGCCATGGTACTGGAAGCTGAAAGGCATGAGGTGACTTAGAAATGCATACTGAGAGGCACAGGAGAAGGAGAACTGTAAAGTGCCCTCGAGCGAACCATCGAAGAGTGTAAGCAAGAAGTCAAGACAAGCAGAACATCAAAACCAGTTCAACCACAGGAACAGTGGGAGTGAGAAGATGTATAATGGAGAATGCCCAGTGGGAAGGAATTTCACTTAGGTTGTGGTGTGTTGTGTCGTGTTGTGTTACGTTGTGTTGAAAGTAGAGCCTCACACATGCTCAGCCATAGCTCTAGCACAAAGCTATATACTCAACTCTCTTTTTACTTCTCATTTTGAGACAGGATCTCACTAAACTAACTGCCCGGTTGACTCTGAACTCAGGTCTTGAACTTGTAACCCTCCTGCCTCAGCCTCTTTAGTAGCTGAGGTTAGAGAACAGCTCCCTCATGCAAAGAAAGTAATTTTAAAAGAGGCTGTTCAGTGTTGTGAGGACAGTAGGAAAGTACAGCAGGGAAAGAATAGAGACAGGAGGCCATGAGACAGCTCAGGGGTAAAGGCACCTGCTGTGCAAGCCTGACAACCTAAGCTAAATCCCTGGTGGTTCACGTGGTGGAAGGAGAGGACTGAGTCCTCAAGATGTCCTCGGGCCTCCACACATGCACTGTGGCCAGTGCAATCACATACCTGCGCACACGTATACATGCATGCACACACACACACACCTCCACACACAAATTAAATTTAATCTAAATTTAAAATGAAGAATAGAGATCTGAATGCTAGGATAACACAAGGAAACCCCAAGAGACTTGGACCAGAACCAGCTCCTTGAACAATGAGGAAAGAAGCTGGGTAATAAGTGTCCTTTCTGGACACACATACACACACACACACACATTCACGCGTGCGCCAAGTGTTCTCTCTTTCTCTTTCTCCTACTCTGTAAGCATTTTACTTTTCAAAACTATAAAAAGATGAACATGTAAGTCCATTACTTTCCTGCAAAATGTATAGTCCTAGTTCCATGGCTTCATATAATGAACACACACACACACACACACACATACACCAACAACAACAGCAACAATAAAAGAAAACAAAAATAAACCCTTCATAATAAAACACCAGCATTTCTACATAGAAAAACCCTGTCTTGAAAACAAACAAAACAAAACCCTATATTTGAAAATACCATCCATGCTGGGCAGTGGTGGTACATGCCTTTAATCCCAGCACTCGAGAAGCAGAGGCCAGCAGATCTCTGTGAGTTCGAGGCCAGCCTGGGCTACAGAGTGAGTTCCAGGAAAGGTGCAAAGCTACACAGAGAAACCCTGTCTCGAAAAAAAAAAAAAAAGAAAGAAAGAAAATAGCATCCTGTTCCATGTACCAATTTTTAGTACTTTAAAAAATTTGTAATGTAAAATACAGAGTGTTTTATTGCAGTTATTTATGCCTTAAAGAAAAAAAATCTTTATAATCACTTTTGTACTTTGGATTTAAATAAAAGGCTTAATTAAAAATTTGCACTGAATAATTACTGTATTTGAAGTGTAAGGCTGGAGCCACTGCCACAGCCTTACATTACATCAGTGGCTCAAAATCTTACCTTTTCTCCCACATCTTTTTGACTTCTGGGTATTTTCTTTCTTATCAGAGTCCTGGAATTTGAGATTTGCATAAATAGTTTCTTCAGACATTGATGAATAGTCAAAGAAAGCTCCACAAACTGTCCTTTGAAAAAGGTGAGAGAGAGCAAAAAGCTGAATGAATCTATCTGGAATTTTAAAACTTAAGTGTGCAAACTGAAGCTAGTCTCACAAGCTAGCATTTCTTTTTAAAAACCCATTGTGTCAGTCTCTCAAATATGTGCCCAAGAGCTACAGACTGTCTGTAGCCTCAGACAAGAACAGATAAGAATCAAAAGAGGAAACATCTTTCTTCCTCATATGTCGTCCTTTTTCTCATTTCTACATAAAGTAATTTTTGAAATTTTGTTTGGATAATATTTGTATTGTGCAAGTTGCACAATTCATTTCTACCACATGGTGCAGATACAGCATAGGATTAAACCCTCTAGCAAGAAAATGATTGGAATAACTCAGTTCTCAAATGCTCGCTGATGGAACCGCAGTGGACATGCAAGGTGCCCTGTGTGTAGGATGGCCAAGGTCTCCAGAGAAAGACTGGCTTAGTCAGAACTGAACATTCACAGAGATGACACAGGAGGAGTAGGAGATGAAAGACCATGCTCTCTCTCTCTGGTACAAAGGTTCTGGTTAGATTAACAAGAGCTTTGCTCCCAGCATTAGAGAGGCAGAAGCAGATGGATCTCTGTGAGTTCCCTGATAGCCTAGTCTACACAGTGAGTTCTAGGACAGCCAATACTACATAGAGGGATACTGTCTCAAACCACCACCACCCCCTGAAATAAATAACAAACTAAATAAATAACACAAGACACTACCACCACCACTGTGTAACTGGTAAATGAATGAACTCAAAACTGTAATAGTGAGTCAAAGCCGTAAGACATAACCTGGGTCATGCTGGTACCAGCTTCCTTCCCCTTTTCGGTGGCTCATTGAAGTACTTCATATGGATTGAGGCTTTGCGCAAAAAACGTAAGTCTGGCTTCAGGTTTCCTGGATGCAGGGCTGTTCACAGAGCCCTCAAACACAGGTTGTTGCTCTAAGCATGCACATTCCCAGTTGTGGTTCAGAGCCCCAGGTTCACAGTTTTCTGTTGTTATTGTTGTTCAGAGAAACTAGGTGTTTCCAGGGTTTGGAGACTACACATTAGAGACTGGGAGTCTCATCAGTGGGCAGCGCCCATTTTTAATACCTTCTCCTAATATTTCTTTGGAATTCTTAAGTGATATCAACACATAAACAATGTTAAATAGGTTGGCATTATTTTTAACTATAAAAGAGAATGTTTTAATTCAATAAAAATTAACTGCTTTGTCATGATAAAAAAATGTACAGACAAGCAACACTAGATTGACTTAGTGAGTTGTGTGTGTATATTTCTGTGTTTAGATATGAGTAACAACAATTATCAAAGAAAAGAAGGCTATGAATTTGAGAGGAAGTAATGGACAGAATGGGAGAGGTTGGAGGGAGGAAAAGAATGGGAGGGGATGTAATTAAATTTTAATTTTTAAAAAGATAGCAAACAGAAGAGATTTTCTACAACATCTACCAAAAGTAAACAAAAGAATCACAAGTACAAATAAAGTACGTATTTACAAAAAAATATTGAAGAAAATTCTAAACTATTACGAAAAGAAATCAGAAAAGTATGCTTTAACATTAGAAGTACTAACAGTGTAAAATCATTTATAAACGTTTCAATAAATGTTAGTTGAATTAAAACAATAATGGATACTTTCCTGATACTCAAAAAGACTATTTTAGAGTATAATTCAAAATAATTACAATGAAAGATTTTGAATGCTTCCATCACAAAGAAATAGTATGTTTGAGATCATGAGTGGCCTAACAGCCTGAGTTGATCATTGTGATACTGTACTGAAGGACCAGAATCTACCCCATAAGCATGTACAATGACTAGCTTTAAATTTTAAAAAAATGCCACATGGGCTATCAAAATCCATATGAAAATATAAACATAAAAGTGGCATAAGCAAAATTTAAAGGATACAGTATCCAAGGAGATGGCTCATATACAAAGTGTTTGCTGTGCAGACGTGAGGGCCTGAGGTGGATTGCCTCCACCCACATGAGAAACATGGCATGGCAGTCATACATGTAATCATAGGACTAGGGAGAGGGACATAGAAGGATCCCTGGGTCACATTGTGTAAGGACCGGTATCGGCTCAGGACATCCCAAGACCAAGTTCTAAGCACAAAGGAGATTTATTTGCTCCAGATGGGGAAAGGTCAGGGAATAGAGGGCTAAGGAGAAGGGGAGGAGGGAACAAGGGAGAGGGGGAAGGATTATCTGTCCCTGAGGGGGACAAAGGACTGCCTCTGAATAGAGAGGAGACCGACATTGCCCACAAGAAAATAGTGGTTTATAAAGGAGAAACTCCACGTTAAGATGAAGTGTTTAATTCTAATTGGACATATTAATAAGGTGAGCCAAAGGGGGCTTTTGATTGCTGGACTTCAATACTTTGATAGCCCAACCTTGGTAGTCAGCCTCAGGAGGAGGACGTGGCCAAATAAGGAAATGAACCTTGGTAGCTAGCTTTAGGAGTATAATCTAATGTTTTTAAGCAAGGCAGAAGGAATGGGAGAGAAGGGCAAGTCCTATCAGAGCCATGTTTGCCATGCTCAAGCTGGCTAGATTCCCTTTACATTGTCTAGCCAACCTAGTGATCACCAAACCCCACTAAGATCCCACTGAGAGATGTCTCAGAACACAAGGCAGATTCCAGATGCATGTTCACACGTACTCCTACATATTTGTATATGAAAACGCACACTTACCTATACATACAAGTGTGCATGCATACACATATACATGTATCAAGACTGTTAAAAATATATATATAATTTTATTTTCTTCTAACTACTTCATGAGTGGTGGTTTCCTGTTTACAAGCCTTCAAGACAGATGTTCTTATTATCACCTTGATTCCCAGGAATGCAAGTAAACTATAACCAGTATAGTCCTCAACCAACGTCACACAGGCGTCAGAGCAGATGGAGAACTGAGATATAAGTAGATCCCAGCTGCTTGTTTCAGACACGTATCCTCCCATGATGGGAAATCATTGGCCTTTCCTTCTTCCTGGCAGGGGATCAAATATTTCTATAGGAAGAATAAAAACATTCACATTTTAGAATATAACACATGAATGTGGGCTAAGTCTCTAGAGAAAGTTTTCTCAACAAGATATGAAGGATAAGGATGAACAAATAGACTACATCAAAATCAAATACATATATACAGCAAAATAAAACACAGTAAAAATAGCCATAGTAAACTGAAAAAGTGTAAATATACATAAAATACATCATATATACCATAGAGGATGGGGTGAATTTTATAAATTCACAAAGTTATACAAATTGATATACAAAAAGGTGAATGGTGATAGGAAATTTGACATCAGTAACAAATTCTTTTGGTTTTTGAAACAATTTCTAATAATTAAATTTTTGGCAAGAAAAAGTGTGAGGAGAAGATTTAGGGTTTTTTGTTTTGTTTTGTTTTGTTTTTCTTGTTCTTTTCATCACATGTGACTATTATCACTTTATTTTTTAATTAAGAAATTTTTTTTATTCATTTTACATAGCAACCACAGATCCCCCTCTCTTCCCACCCCCGCCCCCAGCCACCCTCTCAAAACCTATCCCCTATTCCTTCCTCCAACATGGTAAGGCCTCCCATGGGGAGTCAGCAGAGTCTGGTATATTCAATTGAGGCAGGTCCAATGCCCTCCCCCTGCATCAAGGCTGTACAAGGTCCCTCTGTAAGTAGTGGGCTCCAAAAAGCCAGCTCATGCACCAGGAATGGATCCTGGTCACTACTCAGCAGTAAAAAACAATGACATCATGAAATTTGCAGGCAAATAGATGGAACTAGAAAACATCATCCTGAGTGAGGTAACCCAAACTCGGAAGACAAACACGGTATGTACTCACTCATAAGTGGATACTAGATGTAAAGCAAAGGATAACCAGACTACAACCCACGGATCCAGAGAAGCTAGCTAACAGGGAGGACCCTAAGAGAGATGCACGGATCACCCTGGGAAGGGGAAACAGATGAGATCTCCATGAGTAAACTGGGGACGAGGGGTGGGCAATGGAGGGTAGGGGATGGGAGATGAGAATGTAAGGAAACAGGATGGTTGAGCTGGAACCAGGGTGGAGTGGGAAAGCAATGAAAGAGATACCATGATAGAGGGAGACATCATGCGGATAGGGAGAAACCGGGTGCTAGGGAAGTTCCAAGGAATCTACAAAGATTTAGGGTTTTGTATCTTACAGGATTCTTACATGTAAGGAATCTCCCTCTCTTCTTCCCTCCCTCCCTCCCTCCCTCCCTTCTTTCCTTCATTTGTTCATTTGTTCGTTCGTTCCTTCCTTCCTTCTCTAACTGATAAATTTTCATATTATAAAGAAAAAAATAAGAATATATTTAAAATTTAATTGAAAGAGAAACAATCTATTTTACTGCCCTGCTTCTAATATGGTACTTGGCTAAATGTGTATTGAAAAATAAACAGTGAATAAATGAACCTCCCCTGAATTGAGGGAGGGCAAACACCACCAGCCAGGCAGAGTACTGCTTTGTTTTCAAGGAAAATTTGTTTAACCAGTTATCACCATGGGATGAATGTTTACAGTTCATTGGTAAGGACTTCACAGCCAAATTGACAAATATGCTCTATCTGGCATTTTATATGACCAAGATATAACCAAGATTTTCATAATACAAGTTCCATACAAAGTCTCTGTTAAAAAGCTAGCTAAAGTGTTTATTTTTATATGAATTACCTGAGATCTGGAATAAGTTTATGCTTTATATTTCATAACCTTTACTAACTTGATTCCAGTCAAATATGCAGAGACCCTCTTAAATACAGCTACAAATCTCTCTCAGTGTTACACACGAATAATGCAAATATATGCCTTATGGATTGTTACAGAGGAGACAAGGGGAAGAAACACAAGGGTAAACCAAAGGGTAAATAAAGTACCAAAAGTTCCAAGTCACACAGTTTAAGAGCT